AGCTCTCCCCCCGAACAATGCCTGTCAGCACGGACTGACACACACATGATAAACACTCGCACGTGACAAACAGAGTGTCAGACAGAGCATCAACGCGAGCCTCGGCCATGTTTTGGCAAAACCGGCGAGCTTTGAAAGTTGTGCGTGCACACAGCTGATCGTTAGCACAGCCGTGACAGCGCGGTAACAAAGATCTTTACTGCAACACGAGTTTACATGCAGAGACATTACGACATACACTGCAGAACTTAAGCAAAAACACTCAGAGCACGTGAAAGTGAATGAACCGTTCTGGAGAAATCTGCTCCTCGATCTGTGCTATTTCCACGACTTTACATGTGGACAAAGTGAGGAGCTGCAGGTGGCGTGTGTGAGCAGTTTGTGGGTGTGTACCAGCATCTCTCTCACACACACACACACACACACACACACACACACACACACACCAATTCAAAATGTAAAAAAATATTAAATTACAACATACAGAGCAAAACAGCAAATGCTCACATTTGAGAGACTGGGACCCGATAGCAATTGTTATTTTTGCTATACAAGCAACTTTCTGTGGATCGACTTATCATTGCCGCACTAATTCCCCAAATTGTCGAGTACAAAAGCAAACTCAGCAACAGAGAAACAAGGAAAACAAACGTACGCACACACACACACACACACACACACACACTCTGAAAGTGTTAAGTCATGTGCTGCAAGAAGAATCAAAGAGGGGACTGCAACAGCATGAAAGAGGAGGACAAATATGAAAAAGAAAGTGTGAAACTAGTCAACATTGCAAATGAATGTACACAGATTGGAGGAGGAAAAGTGAAGTATGAGAAAGAGAAGAGAAACAATGGCAGTGACAAAAGAGAAAATACACCAAAAGATCAAATTGGTCTCTGAGCCTACCGTCCTCAATCATCGCACTCTGTTAGCTGCATGCTGTCACTCGTCTCTCAGCTGATTCCTCCCCCCTCTTCCTCCTCCTCCCCCTCCTCCCCCTCCTCCTCCTCCTCCTCCTCCGTCAGACTGAAGAAAAGAGTAGAGTGAGGCTGCTCCTAAAAGACAGCCGATGCTCTGACTAATCCCTGCATAGAGGCCCGCCCCCTCGGCCAATCAGGACGCAGCGAGGGGGGCGTGCCTCTCGATAGAAAGAAAGAAAGAAAAGGAGGGGGGCGGAGCTACCCGGTGGTATATCAATTCCTTCTGGGACACCACGCGCACACACACAGCAGCTCAATCAACAGGTCGTCTCCTATAAAACACAGGGCGACTCGCAGCTCAACGTGTGTTTAAGAGTTTCATTTAAACACACAACTAAAGACATATACGCAGTGATCTAACAAATTAGCTCCAACAGTCCTTAACTTAATAGATATTAAATTTACAATGGTATAAAAACAGAGAAAAACTGCAAATCCTCACATTTGAGCAGCTGCAACCAAAGGATGCTTGGTCTTTTTTGGAAAACATCAAACCTTTTGGGACAAAACTTGAACACACAGCCCAAACCAATGAGCCAGCTGCCAGACCACTAAAATAAATAGCAATTATCAAGTCAAATTATTTCACACCCTCACATTTTCTTAAAATTTCCCCCCGACAATTCCAAAATTTGACTCAACATCTGCTTTTATGTTCGCGGAGGAAGACCGTGTGATACGTGATCCGTGTGGTTGAAAGCTCTGAAAGAAGGCAGTAACCACTTACTGCCTTCTTCTGTAGAAAAAGAAAAATGAGTAAAAATACCTCCAGTACATCAAGTACATGTTACCCCAGTCAAAACGCATATTTCCTGGCCAAAGTACCTCCAGAACAACTTTGAGTCGGGATTCTTTTGTCAAACAACTACACTAATGCGGATTCTGTAATAGTTTTGGCCCATACGAGGTTTGGTTTAGCGTGTGCTTCGTTAATGTGCAGATTATGATCCTGATACAAAGCTCTATTCACTCAGTGACATATGGACAGGATAACAAGCTCTTATGGACGACATGTCAATCTGATCCTATGAATGGTCATTACGTCCTTCATGTGAAGAGGCTTTGACATCTCCGCTGTGCATGTCCTTTATGTCAAGAGAGGCGGGTCTATACTGCTGGTTCTGCATATTTTAGCCCAGGTAACAATTTAAAAATCAAAAAAAAAAAATCAAAGTTGGCACTCAAACTGTGCTTACATTAGTTAATCCACCACAGTAACATTTCTTTGATCACTTGTACTAAATCTGTTCCTCCAATGTAATTTTCCTTCTGAAGGTGAGTGCACCCATGTAGAAAAATCGATTACAATCTGGTCCTCATTATAGACTAATGCAGGGCTGGTTGATAGATCACGATATTAACAGTAACATTGTTCCAATATATATATCACAATATGGCCAATTTGGGCAAATTATAGTTACATATATTGAAATTGATGCTCAATGCACAAAATCATTTAAAACAACACAATATGATCATATCATCACTGACCACAACTGACTATGGACCTTAAGAAGCAATTAGTTTGTTATTCACCGAACAAAAAAAAAAAAGCAGCGCTACTGCTTGTACTGTTGTCAAAGTAACAATACTGTTGCATGGGAATAATCTGTGATAGAAATGCAGACTGTGATAAAGAGGACGTTTCAAGCCTGTGCATGTTGGTCTTTATGCCGGGTAGATGTGAATAGAAGCTAGCTGGAGGGAGGGAGGAATGGGAAGTGATGTGCAGTACATGGGAGTCGCTGTAAATGAAGCAAAGACATGCAGAAACCTCTGGCATGGTCCTTTAACAATAATGTCACAGTGATTTTCCATCGGAAGACGAGACTCATCGTGCACCCCACATCCACAGATGCACATGTACACACACACACACACACACACACAATCCATTACACACACAGATACACACACACACTATAACCATCATTGAGGCTTCCGCGATTCAAATCTCTTCTGCGGGACGCTTGTCATCTATTCTCCCTACGTCTCTTCATCATCATCCCTTCTTCCCTCTGTCGCTTCTCCCGCTTCTCCTCGTCTCTCACCCTCTCTGTGCCTCTTTCTCGCGTCTCCTTAGCTCTTTAGATTAGATGTCAGTTATGTCAAAACAAAGACACACGAGGCGCAGACAGGATGAGCTCATTCAGGCAAAAGGGGTGACTCGTGCACACACGCACAAAAAGACCCATAATAGTATAAAACACACTGCAGGTATGAGCCAGAGATAAAAGTGTATCTGCAGTCAAAAAGATAGATTTTCCAAAAGTACAAAATGCACCTTTTTTTTAATAGATAGATAGCTATCTATCTATCTAGTCTTTGCATTATTCACAGCATGGAGGGAGCACAATTGCTTCTTTAAACATTAATTTAAACATGCTTCTTTAAACAAAAATGCACCTTTTTTTTTGAGAGAGAGAGAGAGAGAGAGAGAGAGAGAGAGATCTATCTATCTAGTCTTTGCGGATTGCATTATTCACAGCATGGAGGGAGCACAATTGCTCATTAAGCTGGGATGAAATGTTGCTTCTTTAAACATTACTCTTTGTCAACCATGACAATGACCCTATGGGTGAAAGAATGAATGAATGAATAGCTCCGGGTGCTATATAAGCAAAGGTCCAGCGGCAGTTAAGTGTGTGAATCGCCAGTAAAGAGCCAGTGTGTTGCAGTCACACATCCGACGCATCGAGTCCGAGCACTGTCCATTCACTCTACTGTAGCTCCAACACAATGACTGTCAAGCAGAGAGAGAGAAAGACAGAGACAAAAAAAAAAAACGCCAGACACGGAAGAAAGACAATCGATGCCTCTCTCGTTCGGTCGGGAGGTCTCTCCCCCCCCCCACAAAAAAGGAGGAGTTAACTTTAAAAGGAGCAGAAAGAGGAAAGTGGAGACACTGCACCAGTCCACTTCACATGGACTTCAACACAGCTCAAAATGAAAGCAGCAACAAAGCACTTCAGGTTTTCACGAACGCACCAGAAAAATGAAGCTGTGCATGCAACAAATTCTCATAACTTCATGATCCATTCAGCGCACCGGGGGGAGAAAAGAGAGAGAGGGGGGGAGGGTAGGAGTCAAATGACACGGGCACAATTGCCGAGGAATTATTGAATGGAGGTAGGAATGAATGTAACATATTGAATTCTGGGTGACAGTTTGCTAGAGATGGGGCACAGATACGTATAACTGCACGTCAGTAATGGATGTTATGATTATGAAACGCTCGGGACTTTATATTCCCGGTTCCCCTCTCTGTTCTCGGTGTCCCATCCCCCCCTTGTCCGTCGTCGGCATCGGACAGAGCTAATTTCGGGGTGATTCGGTTTCATTTAGAGTTTGATTGTGTAGAAACGTTAATAACAGAAAATGAAATGTGCAGGTAGTTGGAGAAATCAGAGACTGGCTTCAAGAATGAAACTCGGCTGCAAAGAACTGCGTTGGTGTTTTTTTTTGGCTTTTTAGTCCAAAATAATTTGGCTGCGATGTCTGCCATCGTTGTCATTTATTTACCAGCACGCATTATATGCAGATGGTCAGAGGAGGATATCGGCTACCTCTGTGTACAGACTACATGGGACTATTGTCTCCTAAATGAGTCTGCGAGTGCAGCTTAGGAGAGCTGCAGCCACTGTGTCACAGCAGAAATATGCATATATACATCTACACATCTACACAGGCGCATTAATGCTACAACGGGTGCACTGGAGAGCAAGAAACAAAGTCAAATGAGTTTAAAGCATTGTCATCGGTGCCGAAAACTGTCATTTAACAGTTAAGTCCTTTAAAAAAAAAAATTTAAAAAAAAAACTAAATGAGCAGACGCAAGTGAAATCACTCGAGAAACGACGACCTGGATGTCGGCAGGGACCCATACAGTCTGGACCGCCGGGGGACAGGATGTAACGTTACGCTTTAAAACTTTCCGACGATTTGAACGGACACCAAACACAACACCTCTCCAGCACAACTTTCAATGTCCGATATTAGGCTCTGCCGTCACAGGCCTCCTTACCTGGCGGCTGGTCCATCTCCAGATAGAAGATCAGCTCTGTGGAGTAGGGCATCGTCACGTCCTTCCAGTCTCCTTCCTCACCGGCTTTCTCCGTGGTCCAATCTGTATTATACATTGTCTTGCGTGTGGCTTAACCTGACACTCTTTCTCCACGAAACGGGTAAGAACAAAACCGTACAAAATGCGAACGGCTGGCAAAAGCAAACCGACGTTTTAAAAACTCGATTGGATAAGCTAATCTATCTATCTATCTATCTATCTATCTATCTATCTAGAAGTATTCTATCTGAATTCCGGCTTCAGACTGGAATAAATAGACGAACTGTGTACAAAAAGCACTGCTCCCTCCGACATAATAATAGAGTTAATAACTTGGGGCTCTTCATGAAGGCCCTCTATATGTGTATATGTACACATATATATAAAAGCGTCCTTTAAACGGTGGAAAGTAGATGCCAGCTCTACATTTCAGTCCCCTCTCCTTTTCCGCCGCTGGTGCCGCCGGCTTGCTAGCTTCATTTTAAGAAGAGCACTGACAAGAGGAGGCTGGCTGAGGCTGACAACGGCTGGGACGAACCACTACGCCGAAATATACGGGGGGGGGGGGGGGGGATTTGACTTCCCTAACTGTGATACACCAAAACGAAATACAAATAGATCCTTGTTGTAGTGGATATTGACAACGTGTACCAGCTAGTAAACATTACTCTTATCTAACCTATTCATTCCGCTCACACGTTCTGCCTGTATTGTATTAATACAACCCCCCCTCCCCCCCTTGGTTGGACTCTTTCTTTCCCAGGCACGACGCTGAGAGAGCCTCTTTGCGCAAACTCAGAAGCTGCATTTGAAAGCCAATAGGGAAATGACTTCAGCCTCTGAAGAGCAACTTACAAATTCTGTGGTTTTCCAGTCAGATCCTTACCTTCCTGCTGCTTGGCTGTATGTAACTACAAACTACTGGCTGCTACTGACTATGGCAGTGTTTTTGCATGTTTAGCCCACTTTTTACAAATTACATGTTTTACGTTTTCCCAAAGCAAACCTAAATGTTTTTACATTTGTGAATGTGCTTTTTATACCATACAACCAAACCAACAATAAATTGATCCTATTTACAAGTATTGTGTGTGTATCCAAAAGCCAGATACATCTTATTCCTCTGTGACATAGAGCAAAGAGATTGTTGTCCAAAAATACATTAAGCCACACTCTTGCACATGTTCCTTCATTACCATGAACGGGGACACACACACACACACACACACTCTCTCACACACACACACTCTCACACACACACACACACACACACACACACACACACACACACACACACACACACACACACACACACACACACACACACACACACACACACACACACACACACACACACACACACACACACACACACACACACACAAAAGTTTATTTGACTCAATCCCATATTCACCATCCTGCTGCCCCAAATACTCATAAGAGCACCAAATGTAGATTAATCCACTGATGGACAGAGTTCAATATATGCACTGTTTGCTACACATTACAGTGCCCATGCTGCTTTTGGAAATTACAGAGCCTTTTAAAAAAAATGGAACAATGCATGTTCCATAGGAACCAATGAAATTTGTTGATAATAACAAAATATTAAATAATGCCAACCTGGATACTCCCCAAATGAATCCACCATTTCAGCAGCATCAGCATGCAAAATGACACAAATGGTGGAATAAACAAATCAAGCATGTTTCAAGTTGATTTTCATGCCATGGTGAAATGATTTCAAGCAATGGCCCACTGAAAGGTAAGGAAAACATTAAAAAACCCAATCACTGCAATGTGTTTTGGATCATGATTAGTGTAAAACATTAAATAAATGGTAATCACATGGTAATTAGCTTTCCGACAAAAGTCACCCTAATGTCCTTTTCCACTGCAGCGATGTGTCCGGGGCTAGAGTTTGTTTGTTCAGTGGGCTTGTTTAACTCCAGCTGAGGAACATTTTCTGTTTACAACATGAACCAAGCCCCCTACAGTGAGGTAAGTAGTTACAATAAATGATATAGTCTCTTAAACATACGCTTAGGGATGCTAGAGAGGTGTAAACATGTATTTAAGAAGCCTATATCCCTATATACAGGGATTACTGCACACACACGCACACATCAAAACACACACCTGCTAAAATGGATATTATGCATTTACGGGATTGTAGGACCAATGTATCCTACATCGGGCTGACTCAAATAGCTGGTGAGAATGGGGCCGACCTATAAAATTCTATTCTATTTTATACACGCTATATATTTGCTTTAGAACATTTGGAAAGCCATGTTTAAGTCACGCCTGAATGACTCCACCCAATTCCACACAGTGAGCATACAGCTTAATCAAACATTGGTATCGGATCTGTACCGGCCGATACCCAAATCCCAGATATCTGTCTCGGGACTGAAAAAGTTGTCTGGTGCTTCCCTAATGTATGGCTCCTCATTCTTTGACAAGATATTTTTGAAGCTGCTATCATCAATATTCTAATCTTTACAATGGATCAAATGACCACGCTTTATGGGAAAGATGTCCCTCGTAGTGAGAAATGCACAGATAATTATCACCTGACTCTGCAGTTCTAAGAGCTTTACAGTGTCTTTGAGCTCATTGTTTTAAATTTGACTGTTTGGATTCACTCTCACCGCTTTCATGGCGCTGTTTTTCGGTCGAAGCAGGCAGCTATTCTCAGCAAGAAAAAAGCTATTAAACCAGAGCGTATGCTGCTCAGCACCAAACAGCAGACACACACAGTTAACGACTATATATAGCGAAGAAAGTGGAACACATATCGCAGCTAAAAAGCCAGACTTATATTATACTATTATAGATAATGTTGCCAAGTGTCTGTTCTATTCAAAACCAGGCAACATTTTTCTAACAAGTTTGTCACATCAACTTAGAAGGTGATCCCAGGTCAGTGTTGTATTCGATGCCCCAAGTGGCCAAACAATCTGTTACTGCAGGTTTATGTAACAGTTAAATCAGTTCTAAAGATCTCCAACTGATCCACAGCACAATCCTCTTTTTCTCCCCTTGCTTCACAGCTCAAGTCGGTTCATAGCAACGGAGCAAAGTCAGATTCAGTGCGACTGGGTCCAGTTAGGATCTAGTTCTATTGCCGTGCGTTTTTGTCAATATGTCTGACACTGGAGTGGATCATCATCACAGGGGGAAAAAAAAAGAAGTATTTTAAGGCGACTTTTCATTCATTCTCAGGACATCAGGACGCATTACTGCTCTTTTCGGCTGCACCTGCATGTTAATTGGTATCGGATTATGCTGCTTCCAGTGTCGTGCTCTCTCGCTGCTTGGCTCTATTTGGGTCGACAGCAGTTTAGATGCGGTCTAATAATCCCATGGCCTTTTCGGATGGGACTCTCTGTTTTTTTTAAATGTATTTTTGCATGTCGGGTTTTGGTTGGTTTTCCAGAGGTCTGTTTTTGGAAGAGTTACATATTTTTTATTTTCTATGCATATGCGTGTTCTGCATGCGCAAACCAAATTGAGATGACAAGTTTGTTTAAGCTGATTAACTCAGGTTTTTTTTTGTGAAAACTGGAAAAACCAAAATAAAATGAGCCTATTACTCCCTCTCTCGGCTTCTATTCCTGTGCCAAGAGCAGAAAGTAGAGCACTTTTAAGATTAGAAAAAAAAAAAAAAAAAAAAAGAACAATGGCATCATCATAATCAGCTGCCCCAAAAGCACACAGTGGAGACCCAGACTGGCCCAGACCCCCAGTCATCCACATGGTAATCTCCTGTTAACAGCCTAATATCAATACAATATATTCAGATGGGAGCTGCTGCTACCAGTAATTACAGCTGCTCTGTCTATCTATGTGTCTGCCTGGTGTCCTAATTCAGGGAGCAACAATAAATGAAAGGTCTGCTCCCCAATCTGCCATCCATCCATTCTGTCCTCCCTCTACATCCCATCCACCCATCCGTCCGTCTGTCCGTTTATCCATTCGTCTGTTCATCCCCCTTTGACTTGACTGTCTCTTCTGTCCATCACAAGATGAGAAGAGAAGGAGGACGCTGGGTTCCCTTTCCCAAATATGAAAAGTTAAAAAAATAGAGGGGAACAATGTCAATGTATGGAATCTATTTATTGAAGCAAACACACACACACACGTCATGATTGTGTTTGTGTGTGTGTGTGTGGTTGTTTCACAGATGGCTCGTGCCGGACACAGCCCAAAGCTCCTCTCTGTCAAGTGTGTCAAACAGGTTTAATTGCTGCCGCCGCCGCTCTGTGTGTGTGTGTGTGTGTGTGTGTGTGTGTGTGTGGCTGGGCAGATGGATCCTTAACAATGACACAGGAACTGACTCTGCCCCTCATCATACAAAAGAGAAAGAGAGAGAGAGAGAGAGGAAGAAGGAGGGGCAGACAGAGGGAGGAGGACGATGGGAACGGCGGTATTAATCTGCGCTGTCCCCGGCCATCGGCACACTGCTCCCCATTTAACCTCCCCAACAATAGAGCCGAGGCATCAAGTGGCCTATTTGCATAGCGTATGCATAATCACATATGAAGCATAGTCACATATGAATCGACGACTCCAAATACAACTTCAAATTCTGTACGGTTCCAATTTTGTACGTTTCCATCCATGTTTTTAAGTGCATTTTGAATATGCGCATACAAAAAGACAGAATGCCAGAAATAAACAGAAAACGCCAAAATGTCAATAAAACATTTTAAGCTTGGCTGAAGATGCTGGCAAAGTGATTAGGGCAAAAGCAAAATAATGGCTGTCAGAATAAAAAAATAATGGAATAAATGCTGATGTTGAGGAACTTGCTTCAGCTTTGTCTTCATTTTGGTACGGCTGTCACTGTTGCGTGCTCCCACTCTGCCAAAAAGACTGCAACACGGTGTGCTACACGGAACCCCAAGTTCGTTCAATCAAAAAAACATAAATGGCCCCCTGCCTCCAG